CGAGTACGTCGACGTTGAGCTCTGGCTCCCTGAAGACATTAGACAGCGGCTTTTCCAGCGAAGGGGTAACAGCCGAATCATGTCTGCCTTTCATGATTTTTCAGGCACGTTCCGCTGGCCCTCTACACACGCTCAGCAGGTCTATGCCGAGTCGAGAAAGTATGCAGATATCATTAAGATGATCACTATCATCAATGATCACCACGAAAACTTTGAGCTCGAGTATTTCCGCTCCAAGATGAGGGCCGAATACCCAGATTCACCTCCGTTTTCTGGTGTAAACATGGGGGAGACTGGGCAATTCTCGAGAACCCTCAACCGCGTCTTCACTCCTATCACGCATCCGCTGCTACCCATCGTGGCCGCTCCCGGTCAGATGAGCGCGTCTGAGATCAACGCGGCCCTGGCGTTGCTGGGACAACTTCCAAAGAAGACTATCTGGGGGATCACCAGCCCGTCGTTCAGGAGCTGCATCCCGCAGGCCCCCTTTTATGAGAAGTGCTTCAACGAGCTAGGCTTGCCCCACCATTTCGCTGTCGTGGAACGCCAACCGAATAATATAACGAGCATGGAGGCCTGGTGTAACCAAAAGAACTTTGGGGGTGCTTACCTGAGTCCCCCGATCTCGTGGACCAGCCTTTTGAAGCACAGCCCTTTCTTTGCCTCTCTCAACCAGGGCAAAGGACCCGAACTCACCGAGGCCGCTCGCGTCATCGGGACTGTCGATACCATCGTCGTCAAGACGGGCTCGTCATCTTCGGCCTCTTCAGCGCCGCCGTCGATCCCCTCAAGCCCACGCAATTACGACGCCTTCAACAACTACACTCCCGGCGCGTCGATCCTTCCAGCCAACACCTCCCTTGTCCTAGACAATGCCAGCTGGAGGGGTATCTTGAGTGCTCTGACCCGTGATCTGGCGCCGTCTGCCTACTTCGGTCGATCTGCCGTTGTGTTGGCCTCGTCAGGTGACGATGCGGCATCGGTCATGTTCGCACTCAGAGCGCTGCGCATCGGTAAGATATACACTGTTGGGTTCCGGACCCCCTCAGCGCTTGCCAGAGAGGGCCCAGCTATCGAACCGTTCAACAGCCTCGAAAGTCTGCAAAGAGCTCGCATGGTTGGTGATGACGCCGCGCCCTTTGTCATTGTGTCAGCTCTGGGGCCTGAAAAGAGCAACCTCGTTGGCATGTTGATTCGCGTCTTTGGTGCAAACGGACGTGGGGGCTCGAACAATACTCGCAAAGTCTTTTTGGATCTCGCGGACACGGCAGGTATCAGGAAGGGCGGAGACCCAAGCATTGTCGCCGAGCAGAGTGGCTTCTCGGCTTATGGCTCGGCAGACACGGCGGCTTTCACCACAGTCGAGACCCTCAGGCTGCTCGTCGGTCAGAACGTGCCCTATAGTTTCGTTCGTCTTGCCAGCGGTCGAAGCTTGTTCTGATCATACCATCATTCTTGCCGGCTCATATGACGGACGCACGACAAGGCGTACTGTTCGGCAATGCCGTCCTCAGTCTGAGGTACTCGGCAGGCATGGCTGGAGGGGGAAGGGCGAGACACTGCACTGCCCCTTTTCCGATGCACCCGCGGATATCCACACCTTGCGTAGCTGACTCGGCTTTGCGTCCCATTTGGGGCGCCTCACCTCCTCCTACGAGACTCTGGTATTCACTCGCAAAAGGCTACCGAACCAGCAAACATGATAAGTTTATTGGATCTGCGACGCTGGCTGGTCGGCCTGCTCAACATCGTGACACCTTGCGGGCTTTGCAAAGGCCGCCAAGACGCCACCTGCAACCTCACAGTCGATGTCGCGAGCAAGAACCCTTGCATGTGGGAAGAGCAAGCAAGCGCCAGTGCCGGGTTGTCCTTTTTGGAAGCTCACGGAGCTTTGCATTATCGGCGTTTTTGGGTTCTCTATTTGACTTGGCACAAGCTGGGTCTGGATTTTCAACCATGGTCGCGAAATTTGATTGTTTCCCTGTTTTCCTTGTTTTGTCGATTTTGTCTTGTCGCGCTCGCATTCCGAGCAACCCAAGTTCATGATCCTGCACTCGTGGTCCTGCCCCTTCGTTTTTTGGTGGAACGTGTTCGGATGTAGATACTTATCAATTCCAAAGGCAGGCACGTCGCCTCCTGCGTTTTGCATTCTATCACAAGCACGATAACTTCTTGCAAGTCTTCGCATCAACCACATATACCTAGGGATGCCAGATATAGGTGGTGTCCGGAAACGGCCGGCGCAGAGGTACCCTCCGCCCATGGTTCCGGGATCTGGTTCCGTCCAAAGCGATCGGGTGGTCGTCCCTTGTGGAGGCGCGCCGCGAGAGCGAGTGCGCAACGGCAGTGTCGCTTTCGCCCAACTGCCAAAACAGACGTGTACGGCCCAAGAGCGGCATTTGCTGCGTCGGAAATGTTGAGAGCTAGAAGTGCGGGGGGCATGTATTGTGCATATGGCGTTCTTGGTGGTGTGGCTCAAGGCCCGATGGAGCTTCGTATGCGTGACAACTTGGCAGGCAACAGCTAGAGTGGGAGGCCAGCTTGACCTAGGCAGGATCCAGCTGTTCCTGGACATTTCTCTTCGGACATCATTACTAGCGGCAGGCTGTAGATCAACAGGGCAAGCGGTGTATAGTACAACCCAACTGGCGAGACTAACCAGGTTGCTGTTGTCATTGTCGATCCTGGAGACAAAACTTGACCATGTCGAGGTGATCCGAACGAGCCGGCTCGTGAACTGAGCTTGACTTGATCAACCGGGGTGAAACCCGAACACTCCAGTCCGCTACTGCTGCGAGATCATCGGTAGACCTAATCTCGGTTTGTGAGGCTCAAGGGCGCGTCGGGAAGGCGGGACGTGTGACCCCTTTTGGTGGTGGCGCCACAAGGACACAAACACTTCAGAGTTTCGGGCTTGACCGGCACAGCCGTCAACCCCTGAAACCGAAGAGAATAAGCTTGTTCCTGCTCGAGAGCTTGAGTCAACTCGACTTGAGTATGGGCTGGTGCCATGGCAGCGGTGAGCGATGGTCTTTGAGAGCAGGTAGCCAGGGAATACGAAGTGAGGGTCGGGGGTCGGGGGTCGGGGGACGATATCGCGAGCTGGGTAGGGATTGACCAGGGTTGATTGGACATGGACATCTCAAGAAGGTGAGTCGTTTTTTTCCAGGGTACCGTTCTGAGTACATGAGACGAAAGCGGCGGGGCGAGCGTGTGAACACGTTGTCGCAATGCATGTCGCATAACGCAGGTTGCTTGGTGTTGCAGGTCAGTCTGGATGCGACCTCCACGAGGAGCAGATCGTGACTCGCCCGCTGCCGCGAAGCAATATACAGTAATATGATTTTCATCTAGACTTGTCATTGATTGTCCAGATAGCGAAGAGAGTGCTTGGCCGGGGCGCGAATGACGACTCAACAAGCCCGGTTGCGCCGTCCACGTCACACCGTGGCCGGGGGTGAGCAGGAGCTTTCCCAAAACATCGTGTGTTCAGATTGCAGGTGCCGGCAATGTCTAACTAACATGACCCCTGTGCGCTGGCCACAGCTATCCGACACGATGACATTGCAGGGAGCATGCTATGGGGCTTTTTGCATGCCCACTTGCTTGGACAGTCCGGGGATTATGGGGAAGGAACCGATCGAGGCACAGCTTATCGCTCCAGGCATCAGACGCCCACGACACTTTGAAGCGGTCGGCCAGTGGTAATGAGCCGCTCCAAAAGAGACGAATGCCGTGCAGGGTCACCAGGCATCGGCAAAGACTTACGGGTGGCGTGCTGGCCTGTTCTATGTTGTTCTGACTTGCTGGGGGCTGAGAAAGGCGAAACACACAATATGATCAGAGTTTCTCAGTGTGACATTGCATCCTTTGCTCTGGTACATTAGAACATTGCCGAAGGACTTGGGCGGCCCATCAGACTTGCCCCATAGAGATGGGCGAAGCAGCCGGTATCAGCGTGCCTTGTTCGGGCAAGCACAAGACGTGGGCGGGTTCTCGCTCGAGACGAGAGTTCTCAGGCCCAGACAGGTATCGGGGTTGTCTTGGCTGGCTGGCAGCCAGTTTCTCCACACTGATCGCCGGGGTCCGCCCCCGCGCCAGAAAGAGGCCTGGCTTGCCTGGCCACCCCGCAGGACGCACGCGGCAAAATCACGGTCAGGTAAGAGTCACCTTGAGGGAGCGCATACAGGACATTCACCTTGCTAACAGGCAGAGAGCCATACGATCATCATGCCAATGCCCGAAATCTGTTTGATCCTGGCGATCCTGCATCGCTGATGGAGAGGGGGTCGGCTGTCGGAAAACCAAGACGGAAAAAGCGGCTCGGGGATAAGGTAGCAATGGAATCTCATCCCAGGGCGTGTCGAAGGCCTCACGACTGACGGACAGACAGCCCAGGGCCTGACAGGCTGGTTGGCTTGTAGTGGGTGGGCAAGTGCTACTGCGTGCACACACACACACACAAGAAAACCAGTTAATATCGGTGACAACTAGCGCTGGGCGGGATCGTCAGGGTCGTCCTCGTGGTCTTGCCTTTTGTGCCTGCCTGACGAATCGTCGAATCGTGGGTAGCTATATGGGATGGCCATAATCGAAGGCAGAGCGTTGTGCAGCCGGACCAATCTCCGTGGTGGCTCCTTACGTCTGCTGGCTGGTGGTCTCTCCCTGTTGAGCGCCGCCCCGCCAGGCTGTTGAGAAGTGTATCTATCATACAATTGGTGTTGTGAGCTGTATGAGCGAAAGACGGACGAAATGGCTGGGGTGCTGGACGAATGGCTCCGGGTCCGGCCTTCAGGCACAGACGACCCGAGGTAACTTGTTCGCGCGTCCAGTGCACCTGACTGCCTGCGGCAGTGGAGCGGTTGCGCTATGGTGGACATGGCCCCGCTGTGCTGTGCAGTGAGGTGCTGTGCCTGCCGATTTCAGCGCCTTTTATGGCATGGTACGGCAACTGTCTCCCTGGGGTGCTTTGTTGAGTACCTAGGTACCTTAGGTAGGTAAAGGGAGTCAAGGCAGGCAAAGGACAGTTCAATGCAATCGCGACTGTGTGGGGTTCTGCGCCTTGTGTGCGCCTGCCGGGAAAGCTCGAACCTCGACGGCCAGCGCAGA